CTTTCCAGCTATTGGACACCTCCAGATTAAAACTGCTTCTTTTATTCCTATCTTTCCTTCCTAAAGGAGCCCCCTTCGACACATGGTCTAAACTACCCCTCGTGTTTCCCCTCCGTGCTTTGATGCACTCTCCATTTCCTACCAGCCCTCCAACAAGTCTCCAATACCTCGCGAGTATTCTCTAGAGTACATATTTGAAGCTCTGCTGTTTCTCATCTTTCAGTACAGCCCTCTCTCCATAGCTGAGCATTTTTTGCTCTTTCAGTGCGGGATTAGATAACCCTTCTTGGTTAATTTTCTATCCACTCTAATGCAATGGGTTTCAAATGGAGATCCAAGCAGGGAAGACAGTTATGTGGTTAAGACCCTAGTCAGGAGCTGGGGAGATGCATATTCTCTACTTTCCTATTTAACCTTGTGCATGTCGCTTGATGGCTCCATGTTTCCATTCCCATCTATAAAAGAGAAAAAAGCTTTCTTTTTTTTTTTTTTTCCCCCACTTTTTCTTTTTTCCTTGAATATTTAGAAGGTAAAGGGTTATACAAAGCCAAGCACAATAGAGCCCCAGGGTGATGTTCTAGCTGCTAGTGTAATAAAATTAACACACGCTGCTTGCAGAGCACCCTTCCACTGATGCTATGTAGCAGTTATGCTTTCTGATAAACAGTCTTGCAGACAGACGGAGCCTATGTCAAGTTAAAATGTTCACGAAGTACGCCTTCGCTAGTTGCCATGCTGTCACTACCCTCCCATTGCCAAAAGAGCTTATATTAAGAATGAGAACATATTTTTGAAAGATGAGAAGGAGATTTTGAGATACACAATGCACCAGCCAAAATATTTAATATATGCCTTAGTCAAAAATTCCATCGTTGCTTCTCGTATCATCTGCATCTAAATACTCTCTTGCTGCCTAGGCACTACACTGTCTCGCATTTTTCCCTCCCCAGTCAGAAGAGGAAGAAGGAACATCACAATGTTATACTCGAAGACACACTAAGAACCAGATGGCTACAAAGTTAGGGGACAGACTCCTACTGGTGTCAAGGGTCTTGCCCAGGAGCTGCAGCTCAGCAAGAAATGCTAACAGCCCCCGGGGTCCCCTGGACACAGCAGCAGCATCTGTCACTTGAATAGCCCCTCAGTATTTCTCCCTTTGAAATATTTCTAGTACTCAGAGCAAAGGTGTTAAGGAGAGAGAGGTCCTGCTTCTCATTACCAGAAGGCAGGAGAAAATGAACAAACTTCCAGGCAGAGAATCTGCTCAGACCTGTCAGATGAAGATGTTTCTGTGAGCCTGTCAGGTTTCTGTAACTGCTGTCAGCTGATGTAATGCAGGACGCTATGTTTCCCCACAAATCTTGTATCCCTCATATCCGTAAACCTCTGTACTAGTAATTCACTCTTAATAATTTATTCCTCCCCCTTCCTGGAAGTCTAGAACTATATTAAAATATTCATTTAAAGCATGTATTTTGAGGGAGGAGAAAAGAGAGGAGAGGAGAATGAACTCATGCACCGGGGATATTAGACAACTGCAGTCTTGGGTGAATTGCACTTTTTTCTCCCTCGCCTCTGCCTCTTCGCAGCCATATCATTACCATCAATAGCCATTACACAGCCTGCTGCGTTACCAGCGCTCGCACGTCTCCGCTCGCTTTCAGGAGGACACAAATCCCCATCACAGAAGTCGCTCTTGTGCTAGCTGAAAGCCCTATTGACAGCATGTGCTAAATGCAGGCTGGAGAAATTAAATCACCCTTCATCTCTGTACATGGATCCTTCCACACGCTGCATGGGACGGCGTTAATGAGGTTGTGCAGGATGCCTTGGGTAACTGCATCCACTGCGCGTTGTCCGCCGGCCTTAGTCTCTAAGCTAGTTAAACTGGTCTCATTTGTCAGAACTAAAATTAACTCACACACGTTCTTGAAGTTGTCTTAATTTGCTAAATTCTACAGTTCAACCTAGATTATCCAAACTTCAATTATCCAAAACTCCCTGGTATTCAAAACAGGGTCAAGTCTCTTGACATCCATTAAGTACATTGAAAATTCCCGCAGTTATCAGAGACCTCATTTATATGAACATATTCCATATCCCCAATGCTTTTTATATAATTGAGGCTGAATGTCAGTAAGGTTTTGATTTCAGGATATTTTGACTGATAATTGAAATTTCCAGAGAGAGCGATTATTTCACTTTCCCTTTTTTTTTTTTTTTTTTTAATTTATTTTTTGCCTGCAGGATCTATTTTATTAAACATTCAAATTCCAACCAAAATTTTCTTTTGCCACCCCAAAAGGCACTCCCAGGCCTTTGCTACCACCTGAGAGACCTTTGCCACCCAGAGGAAGACGGTGCCTGAAGGGGCTTCTCAGATGCTCCTCAGCAGAGGAGAGGAGACAATGTGTGGAAAAGGCAGGATTTTCACAAAGGAATCGAGACAGATACCCCAAACTGTGCAAACCTGAAACTGTTTGTGCAACCTACTCCGTATCTCAGTGACATCAGGTGGCTTCAGGGCAGTGAGATCAGAGCTAGAGGTGGGCTCGGATCGATCACCCTGGGTACAGCCATACCTCCCTCCCTGTAACTACCTGACTGCTTCTTGCAGCACACACAGCAACTCCAACTAAGTACCAGGTACACAGCTAAGGTTTCACATGCAGGTTTAATAATTGATTCTCACCTCCTGGATGAGTTCAGTACCTTGTCAAAGACCAATCTCCTCTATACTTAGCTGAGATGCTACCCAGTGCAAGCAGAGGGGGACATCAGACTCCCGTATCAGACAGTATGCAAGAAGAAACTTCACGGATGCCAAAGCAAGCTTTCTGCAGCTAAATGTGGACTCTTCATCTGCATCTTCAACATGAAGGATGAATTTCACTGAATACGCATCAAAACGTAACCAAAGCAAAAACCAACAGCAAAAATATGAAACGGTATGGAATTCAAATGCTTATGAAACACGAGGCTTACATAAATATTGCAAGCTGACTACCTCGTATTATGACTTTTTAAAATTTACATCCCATACTTATTTAATTAAAACAAGATACATTGCAATCAGTATAGATAACACGAAGTGTACATTTTGCACTAAATTTGAATGTTTTCAGCTGTTTCAGCATTTGACTGCTGCAAACACTTTGCATAATGCATGAACTGGAGACTGTTGATGTGGCAAGCACACCCCTGGCAGGACTTCTCCATGAATGTGAATTCCGGAGCCACTAGCAACAAGCAGAGCACACGTGATTCACTGAGATATCTCCACTCCTCACGTGTGATACCATCAGGCTTGAAAACAGAAGTGCTGAGCTGAGAGTGGGCATGACAATAGCACAGAGGAGGGGGCTGTGTGCAGGCCGTGGGACACCAACTCTTCACCATAGTGCCATTTGTTCTCCTGCTTCCCCAGGAAGGGCCGGGTGCTGCGAGGATCCCTCTCAAACCAGCTCATGAGAATGCAGGCAGATGTCTTTCTTCATAACATATCACGCGGTGTTTTTAGATTTCCAAAGCTCTAAGCACACCAGATGTACATTGCTGAGTGAACAGAGAGGCAGCCTGACTTGTATCACACAACAATTTCAAAGGTCTCGCACACAGCAAGATGCTGCCCTGTAAGCATGCAAGGTCACGTACCTGCGGTCCTCACACAAGCCTGCCAGAGGAGGCTGGGGAGGATCGTGGCATTGCACAGGGTCCACAATGAAACATCTGAATACACCTCATAAACTATTTATACAAGGAAGCGTAATCTAAAGTGCTAATAGATAATTAATGGCTGCACTAATAAATTCTTAGCCAAGGTTCCTAGGCAGGTCACGAGGCTGAGGCTTCAAGAGGTAGCTCATGAATATTCCTTTCCCCCAGCTGCAACACCTGCTCCTGCTGCCTACACCACAGACTTTGCCTTATCGGTAAATGTCAATAATATTTTAATTGGTTATTATTCCTTCCTGACTGCAACCTTTAGAAAGGAGTTTAAGCATTTGGTGAGCGAGAGACTGCCGTAATTACTGGGAAGGAACTGTGCTCTGGAAACAGCTTTTCTATTGCATGCTGCGTGCATGAAAAATATTTTCCACAGCAAACTGAACTATAGCTCCGAGTACTAACTCTGACACTGAAATGTACACATCTGTGTACTATTTAACTAACTGCTAGCTTTAGCACAAGCAACACGGGATTAAGATACAGGAGCCTGTAAGAGAAGAACGTGCATCGCAATGTGAAACGATCAGGGCTGCAGAGCACAGACCGAAGGCAGCTGCATGATCTGACATAACATGGCACCATCCCTCTCATCCCGACGCTCGTTACTTGTTTGTCCTGCCCCATCCAGATGGAGAGGGGATGCAAAGAGCAGAGAAGCAACGCTGTGCAACCTACAACCAGCGTGGGCTATCTTTCAGCTCACAGCAATTTTATCTGGTATGAAGTTAGTATGTGATCACAGCCACAGAAATGTCCTTATTAGCAGTGTCCCAGAAAATGTATATTCTTTTTCTTATAAAATCTTTGGTTAAAAATGTCTAAGCAGTCTTGGGATAGTAAATGTGCTCACACTGTGAGAAGACAGCTTATCCTTCAGTATAAACGAAGAGAGAAACAAAACGTAGGGACAGAGGAAGGAAGCAATAAAAATAGACTATTAACAGCAACCATAAAAAAACAAGCAAAAGTCAAAGCAAGGTTCGAAAAAGGTCTCACAGAGGGAGCCAGACCCATGAAGTTTTGGGAAGGAGAAAAAAGGACTGAATGTGCTGTTGTAACAATCTGATCCTTCGTAAACAGGATCAACCAAAAAAGAGACAAATCATACATAATGTCTCCTGCTTCTTAAGCTCAAAATAGAAAGCTGCCTTTGGGAGCCTTCTGTAGATCTAAGTATTGTATTAAGATATGCTTTAAAGAAAATCAAGATACATTCAGAAATTATAGGAAGGTCTATGAAAAGGATTCCAGAGCTAAACTTGCAAACTCACTTCTTCAGAAGTGTTTCAGGAGAAGGGGTGTGTTTTGGTGGTATCCCGAGGAGTCAAACCTGGACGCCAGGAGGAGGAAACACCAGCAAACAAGTTGTTATCAAGTTTTAGCAGCTCAGAATCCAGACATCTGCCTTCATCTCACACACAAAGTCATGAATTTCCAAAAGGTAAATGACACAGAGAGTAGAATTTTCCTAAATTTGCAGTGTTACACATTTCAGACAACACAAGGCTCCTTACTCATAGGGAAAAAAAAAGCCTCCTGGACTATTTTCAAGACATGGTGTCAGCTGGGGAATCCCAGTCTGTTCCTTTGAACTGGAAAACACCCTTGTAGTCAACAGCACTTGACCGGAGGAAGAACACAGACACGAAGCATGGCGGAGAGCAAATTTAGTTTGGATGCAAAATTACATGGCAGGGTGGCCTTTCCTCCACCTTAGGTCTGCGTACAGAGAGCTACCCCGATAAAGCTCAAACGTATCTTGAATTGCCTGCCTTCATAGGCTTTATCAAAGTTATTTTCCGCCGATCCGCAGCTGCACCAGCAGGAAGTGAGCAGCTCTCCTCGCCGGCCCCATGTGCATGCCTACAGTAACCACATTAACCGCAAAGCATGTTTTTATCTTGTTAAGCCGCTAAGCTCTGAAGTGTTCCGTTTAGTATGGTAATAACAAGGCTGAGTGATAAAGCTTTTAGTGGGTAGAGAAATAGCAGCCAAGATCTCCTGTGAAGGGGACATGCCGTTTGTTTTCTTTACACGGATTCTTCTGGACATGCCAGCACAGAAATAAATCAAATTCCACAGGCTAGATAACACCCCAGCTATGAGACAGACCAACAAAAGCCAGAAATTCAGCATTAAAAGGATGCTGTTCAGTTATTTAGGCCGTGAAGTTGACCTGTCAAACCTGATAAGGGGTATCATCTAGATATTAACCAACCAATAAAATAAACCACACTCTTAAGGTACTCAGATGTTTTTAAACAGAGCCAATATATGACCACGGCTGTCTGCAGAAAGAAAATACGTTTTTTTTTCTGCTGGTTTGGTTCTGCATGAGTAGTCCCCTAACAAAAATAGGAGCAGTAAATGCACCCACCCCACGTCCAGCCACCACCCTGCTGTCTGCCACGTACACACCAGTCATTCTGCCCACCCAAAATACTCCCAACATGCAAATGCAGAGACCCGTCGAGACAGCCACCCTGTCGGTAGTGCTGGGATTGTCCCAAGAGCACCATCTTGCTTCAAGTCCCTGCTGCAGATTGAGTAAGGAATGAGACCTTTAAAAGGGGAGCCCTTACACTAGAAGCAGTTCCAGGTAGCTTGCACCTGGGTTCATTATTTTAATATCACCTTGTCTTGTCTCTAATAGCAGCAGCTAATTTGCAGGTAACCCTTCTGGTCACAGAATCCAATGCTTTTCATCTGCAATATCATTGGCCTCTGACTTTTAAGATAAGAGAAACTCCATTAATGGTGCGTGTGGTTTGCTTTTTTGTTTTGTTTTTTTTAGTTTAATCACCACGAAACACTCTTTTGGAGGCATAAATTACGCCACTTCTGACTTGCCAACTCTTTGTTTAATGCAGTTTTGCAGCAGTGCACATTTCCTCTATATCTCTGCTTCTGCAGAAAACAGATTTCAAATAACTGTGGAAATATCCTCAGATTTCAATTAACCATGCTCGCCTGCAGGCAGGAGCTCTATAAAGTCAAGGGCCTACATGAACTTTCTTCCCAAAGTGAAAGGTCTACAACACCAAAGAGTTTTAAGAAGAAGGGTTTCATCCCCCAGCAGTCTGCCTGCCGGACAGCTGCCAGTTGTGCCCGTGCCCCTGAATGACAGGGACAGGCCAGGAGGAACAAGACGGGTAAACAGTGCAATACCAAGTAGATCACCAAAGCCAGCCTCTCACTGCAAACACACGCTTTAAAATTGTCACGACTCTTCAAAGACCATGCTGGGCAACACCTCTGGGGTACCCTCCCAACCAAATGCTCTGGGAGTGGAGCAAGAGCTTGGAGGCATCACCACGCCGCACCGCACCGTGCCAAGGATCTGGCTGCTTCGTGCATCGGCAGGATGAAACCACTCAAAGGGTCAGGGGCCTTCATCTCACTTGTCAAGTGCCATAGGACCTTCAGGTGAAAGCACAGGGTGGGATGCAAAGCACTGACATAATGGGAATAAACCAGGATTTTTTTAAGGAGAATTGGGGCCCCCAAATCCCTTCAGCAGCCCATCGACACCACCACCCCTCGGAGCTGCAGGCATTTGTCTGGGAGAGCAGCAGCTGGTGTGGAACTGGCTAAGCTTGAATTATCACAGTCTGATCTGCAGATTAGGCTGGATAACAGCTCAAAGCCGCATTTTACTATTAGTGCTCGCAAGGGGCTGCATCTCTCTGAACAGCTCCGTATGGCACGGCTGGTACCTTCGCTGCAGAGGCTGTGGATTAAACCCTGCAGAGTCCGTTCAGCTACCCAGGAGAGACTTTAATCGCTAAGAAAAGTGACTAAGCACTGGGAGCTACCACTAGAGAAGCCTGTGGGCTTGGGCTCTATCCGGGGAACTTTGAAGCCCCCACCCAGACACATACGCCCCATGTGGAAGAAGGCAGGTGCTGTCCTGCTGCAAGCCTCCTGGGTGAGGAAATGAACCTCTTCTGGTTTACGCAAGCACGAAGAGTGGAAGCGATTTCCAGCCTTCCCTTCCTAATTCCTTCTGCAAAATTGAAACTAGACAAATAAAGAAACCCCCCAATCACAACACTAACAGTGCCCTGCTACGACAGCAGTGCTAAGCCACTCACTTTGCATGCAAGGATCTAAGAGGGAACGTGGCAACCCATTGCAAACCACCCCGCAGTGACTTCTTCAGCTGCACCAGAGCGGACACGGAGTCTGCCCTTTCTCCACACTTGCTGATGCTCTGTTCAGTCATCACTTAGCAATTTGCACCAGACTTACCTGCTTGCCCAGCAGAGTTTCCAGCACCCTGAGTTGTTACTCAGAGCCTGTGTCCGGGGCTGTCCCACTTATGCCAGGAGAGTTTGCAGAGCCAGGGAGCACCCTCACCAGTTAGCAGAGATGGCAGCCACGGACACTCACATCACACATTCCCCTTCCGTAACTGACAACTTAAAGCTTTTTGCCCACTCATTGGATGAACAAAGAGGCTGAGGAAACAACCAGTAACAACCTCTTTGTTACCAGTGGGCTGGTAATTCATTATTCATTCTTCATTATTCAGTGGGCTTAGATTCACACTGCCCTGACATAACAGGCAAAAAGAACAAGTAAAACCTCATGTATGCTATGAGTTCTTGATCGAAAAGTAACTTTGCAGACTGCACTAGTCTGCCTTTACAACAAGATTTTGGTGCCTGCAGCTCACGAGGCAGATACTCCGGTGTTCCCTTTTCTGTGATGTTTTAACTCCCATTTAAGCTTACTAGAATGCCTGTTCCACCAATCCAAAGTACAAAACCAAAGTAAATAAGCAGTTAAGTCAGTCAAGCCCCGACTCCCATACAGTCACCAGTTCCCTGCCACACCCCCATTTCCCTCCCTCCCAGCACCCCCAGCCCCCAGCTCTGCACCTGCACCCCGGGGAGCCGGCACACACTTCGCTCCCCTCGCAATCCCCAGCTGCTCAGAGATGAAGGGGCTGACGTGGCTTCCTTCAGCTCAGCTGCAGAAAGTTAGTTTTGCCTCACCCAAGTGCCCCAGACTATGGTCATGGCCCAGGTTTGCCCAACAAAGGTGTGGGACAGATTTAAGAGATGGACCACTCAAAGAGCTTAAGGTTAACCTCTGTGTTCAATGAGTAAACTCCAGAAGGAACTTCAGCCTGGAAGTAATTTAAGCCCTGATTTCAGCTGGGTCTTTTTGAAAATGCCTGGGCTGTTGCAACCCAGTGGTGCTCTGCAGGAGATCAGCTGCCAGCCCCTAAAAATACGAGTGTCTGGTGGGCACTGCTCTCATGGTTAAAGCCTTGCACAAATCGAGTACTCCGCTAAGCCTACGGGGACTTGTGCCTTGCAGGGCACCACGGATTCAAGGATGAAGACAGCAACACGGAATGGGAAGAAGGGAAGGCTGCGGGAGAAATGAAGATCTCAGGCATTAAGATTTGACTAACTGGATGAGACAGAATTATTAAAAAAGAGGGGAACTGGGCAGAGAGACAATTTTCCCTAACCCGCCCCATCCTGACATTAACATTTAAATTTAAACGATGGATTACTGAAATAGCCAAGGTCAAGACCTCGGTATCCTCCCCCATAGTAAGAACCGTGATGCATTGTCATGTGCAAACAGCTCCTTCATGAGACACCAAAGGGCTCTTAATAATGGATATTACACTTCTGCAATGATCGCAGTGGAAAGCACCCAAAATTACCAGCTTTCTTTGCAGAGTAATTTGTTATTTTAATGCTGTCAACCTGCAGAAATAGATTTATTGTTATTAATAATAGTGATTTGCCACATTTTGCTAGTTAAATTACAGTGCTGTATAGTTAGTTCCACAATAAAGGACTGGAAGTGTGCCAGGAGATTGCTCATAGCTCAGTGTAACAGCAGTTGGCACCGTTCCCATTAAGGCATTAAAATTTGAGTCAGAAACATAACAGATGCAAAACAAAACATGAGGTCGCTCGCGGGGATTATATAAAAACAATTAAAACAAATTAATTACCAGTTATGTTAGTGTTGCCCCGTGTACACGTAGAATGACTACAAATCCACGCAGAGGTCTTTTAGAGACCATAAAAGCCAACAAGGATCCCCCAGGGACTGCCAGGGAACTTTTGGTTTCCAGCACACCAGTGGGGTTAAGGAGGTGAAATGCAGGGAAGCACGGACCCGGGGACAGCCCCAGCTTCCCAGGAGCACAGGCAGCTTCTGGAGGCTCCTGAGGAAATCCAGGTTTTGAGCAAAGAGGGATAAACAAGTCTCATTCCCTGGCCAGGAAGGTGTTATGGGCGGAAGAGGAGCCCAGGAGCAGGTTGAGCTAGTTGGTGCAGGCATGCCAAAGCATCTTGACTTCAGCTTAGGTAAGCTGAACTGCAGCCAGTGATGTGACCTGGAGGCAAGGGGACACTCAGGAGCATGCAGCAGGACACAGTCTGGGTAACTAAGAAGTTTGTTGAAACATGTTGAGATAATTTTCTCACCAAGCAAAGCTGAAGAGTTCTGGTCCCTGCAGAAAACTCTGGGAAGTCTCTGGTAGGGTAACTCCCATGGGGAGCCCAACCACCACTCTACTTAGTTTTCCAGCCACGTGCACCTCTCTTTGCAAAAAAATAGATTATTTTTAGGATATTAAAACCCCTCATCATTATCCTGGTGCAGAAGTTGCAGTTTCTCATAGAAGGAGGATCAGCCATGACTAAGACCACTGCAGACCTTCTCTAAAGCTCTCCCTGTCCTCCAGCAGCTTTCAGAAATAAAGCAGTAAGGGAACTCTAAGGACCTGAGCTTCTTCTTGCACCTGTGCAGCCCCACTGACTTCAGTACTGTTGCTCCCAACCTTCACTGTCAACTTACTCCCTCCATGCAGCCTCCCCAGATCCTACCCTATGGGCAGGCCAGAACAGATCCATGGAAAACAAGAGCTGTTTGGCTCTCCTTTATGTCCTACTCCTGTGACTCGGCTGGTACACTCGTTGCGTCCCTGAAATCACTGAAGAAAAAATTGCCTTTGAGTTTACATTAATTCTTTTGTCCCTGGACAGTGCTATCTCCAGTCGCATCAGCCCTCTCCACACCACCAGTAGGGTAAGATATGCATTTTCTCAAAACGAACAATTTATCTAGCACCGCAGATATATTTGATGTGCTCTCACTAACACATTTTTCCCAATTCTAGCAGATAGGTTTGAACAGGCTGCCTCTTTAAACTGAAGAGCACTGAACATGGGGCATACTTCTGGTTCCCCAACAGAGCCTTGTCCATCTGTATGAAGCTGTGCCTTGATTTTACCTAAGGGATATTTTTTCTCTCTCTTCTTGAGATCATAGGGATTTATCTGCATTTTACTACAGCCAAGCCTAAGCTTTTCCTTTGGAAGATTTCCTGGTATTTGGTGAGGATGTAAAACACAATGTCACACGAACCAGAGAGAGTAGCACAGAGGTGTGAGTTTCCTGGAGAAAGCCAGGACCTCCTGGGAACAGACCTGCAGCGGCCGCAGCTCCTCAGGCACAGCAAGGGTCTGAGAAGAACCGAAAGAAGCTCCTTGGGCAACACACAAGCTGTTACCATCGTCTGATTGTTGTTTCTGGCTTCGTATTGCCAAGGAAAAGTGTATTGATATTTTAGCATCTGACTAATGGTGTGAAAACA